ATTTTCCATTTTTTTCAACAAAAATATTCCTAAACACCAGCAGGATCTTTTCAAAAACGTTACAGAACTAAATTTTTCAACTGTAGATTAAGTTTTGTAGCATCTCAGATTAATCAATTTATCAGGAAAAGTAAAAAAGTATTCCGCTTCCTATGTCTCAAGGAAAAAATTTCTGCTCACAACACTCTTTTTGACGTTCTCCTATTCACCACCAGAGGCTGAATCGATCGTTAAGTTCCTATTGGCAAATCAAAGTTGGCACTCGTGGAGAATAGATGAACTATGAAAGTGATGATGGTTTCAAAATTTTACACGGAGAGGTATTGGCAAATCAAAGTTGGCACTCGTGGAGAATAGAAGAACTATGAGAGTGACGATTGTTTCAAAATTTTCCACGGAGAGGTATACGAGTGCAATCTTAAAATGCTTTTATTTTGAAAATGGAACGTTGAATTTAAATCTGGTTGTTGCTACAGTTGTAGAAAAGCTGAAATCTATGCATACACCTAAAATCTGAAAAGAAATTAATTTTTCTATATTATACATCTACTGAGTAGTCCTTAAGTTTTCTACTAACGTAGCATCAACCAAATTTAAATAAAATGCTCAATTTGCAAAACAACGGCATTTTAAGATTGAACTCGTATACCTCACCGTGTAAAATTTTGAAACCATCATCACTTTCATAGTTCATCTATTCTCCACGAGTGCCAACTTTGATTTGCCAATTGGCAAATCAAAGTTGGCACTCGTGGAGAATAGAAGAACTATGAGAGTGATGATGGTTTCAAAATTTTACCATGGGAGGTATACGAGTGCAATCTTAAAATGCTTTTATTTTGCAAATGGAGCATTTTATTTAAATCTAGTTGCTGCTACAGTTTTAGAAAAGCTGAAATCTGTGTCTACACATAAAAATCTGAAAATAAATTATTTTTTCTATATTATATGTCTATTACATAGTCCTTAAGTTTTCTATTAGCGTAGCATTAACCAGATTTAAATAAAATGCTCCATTTGCAAAATAAAAGCATTTAAAGATTGAACTCGTATACCTCATCGTGTAAAATTTTGAAACCATCATCACTTTCATAATTCTTCTATTCTCCACGAGTACCAACTTTGATTTGCCAATACGAGTTCAATCTTAAAATGCCTTTATTTTGCAAATTGAGCATTTTGTTTAAATCTGGTTAATACGTTAATACTACGTTAGAAGAAAACTTAAGGACTACTCAGTAGATATATAAAATAGAAAAATTAATTTCTTTTCAGATTTTTAGGTGCATGCATAGATTTCAGCTTTTCTACAACTGTAGCAACAACCAGATTTAAATTCAATGCTCCATTTTTAAAATAAAAGCATTTTAAGATTGCACTCGTATACCTCTCCGTGGAAAATTTTGAAACCATCATCACTTTCATAGTTCATCTATTCTCCACGAGTGCCAACTTTGATTTGCCAATTAAAAAGCCACAACCGTGCAGCGTTGGCCAAGGAAGACGGCATATTTTATTTCGTTTGTTTAGCAATGATTTCGATACGTTGCGTTTTTTTCCATGTATACCTACTTCTATGCAACTTTTATTATTGACCAACAGCTTCATAAATCATCAATTCAGTGCCAACATTTCAAATGGGCGTAATTGTTTTTGTAAACAATGGCTTTAGCTGTCGATTTCTCGCAACTAACAACGCTTACTGATAGAGGAAACCTGAGTGGTGCGGAGAAACACGAAATGGTTGTCAAAAAGAATCCAACTGGTGCTGTCAAAAAGAATCCAACGATCTAGAGCTGCTAAAAGAGATACTTTTCTCATACAATCCCCGTCGGCAGAGAAAGTATTGTGGTCAATGTTGAAAATATTGCCATTTCGGCATTTTTTTACAAATATTCTTCAACAAAAAACTTGCTCGAATACTCGGATGTAAACAATGTAACGAACGAACGAACCTGCACGAACTGCTGAAGGAAGAATGCAAACAAACTTTATAAGAGTCATGTGGGTAGGTGCACTCCCAACACCATGTACACGTTATTTATGGAGCAAAGGGTGAACTTTCGACAGCATGTATATGCAAATTGTGAGCAGTGCATTAGCAAAACAATTTGTGATATCGCAAAATTTTCAAGTTGTTTCCTGCTGACTTGCAAAACAAAAACGGCTGTGTTCGCAGTACCCAGGAGGAAACATTCCTTTACCTGTTGGTGTCATTATTTTTCATGACTGAGCATTTATTCGCGAGAAATCGACTGCTAAAGCCATTGTTTACAAATGCAATTACGCCCCTTTGAAATGTTGGCACTGAATTCTCGATTACTTTTTCGAAGGAACGTATCTGCATTTATTATTGTTTTCTCAAGCTTTTCTGATGCGTATAACGTGGTAATGATTGCAAATGGATGCAATCATAACGAAGTGAGAATCTTGCTATCGCAATATAATGATGATGACCATCGATCATCCTATTCCATCGGCTGATCATCAACGTCCATGGTGGCATATTTCATACTGACACCTGTCATTTATTGAGCCCTGGTGATGAAGTTGGCGGGGGACTCCCAATAGTTTCAACGTGTACTCACGAGATGGCACTGCGATCACATAAGGGTGGTACGCCTTTTTAATGCACCACCAATGTAGAGTGCGCCACGCGAGTTCGAGAAGAAACGTCAACCAAACCGTTTGTTTACATCAGAATAAGTATTTTCCCCAACGCAAATAACAGCATTTTTCATTCAAAATCTTGCCAATTTCCATCGGTAATTGTCTTATTGTACGATTTTCCACAAATCTGAACTGATTTGCACCTTAACTATTCACACACAAGAAATCCGGAAGATCATAACCACTAAGGCACTTTTCTAATTTTCCATTTTTTTCAACAAAAATATTCCTGAGCAGCAGCAGGATCTTTTCAAAAAAGTTACAGAACTAAATTTTTCAACTGTAGATTAAGTTTTGCAGCATCTCAGATGAATCAATTTATCAGGAAAAGTAAAAAAGTGTTCCGCTTCCTATGTCTCAAGGCAAAAATTTATGCTCACAACACTCTTTTTGACGTTCTCCTATTCACCACCAGAGGTTGAATCGATCGTTTAGTTTCTATTAAAAAGGCCTATTGCCTTGTTCGACGAATTGATTTGTGGGATATCTTGTTAATGAAATATCTTCGATTTTAGCCATAAGAAAACAGTATGAATTTCATTGATATGCCTTATGAAAAATAATGCTGACAAAAAATAATGTGTCGTAGCAGACTGGAACCACAAACGAAGTGACAGACGACTAGCTGGCGAAGAAATCAATTTAAATAATGTGGTTTCACTGTAATAGGATTTTCTTAGAAGCTTGTGCCATCAGCCACCAGATGGGCTAGTATTTTTGTTTTGATTTGAACATAGTTGATTTTGTGTGCAATATGATCTTTGACAGTGTGCAAAGAGTGTATCATTTTGTCATTTTTTTTTATGCATTTCAGTTTAGAGTAGAGTGAAAGAGATAGAACCAAAACATTCTGTAGTACACGGAGAAAAAATACTACCCAAAATTTGAGTTCTTTTTACTTAATATTGACTTCAGCCTCTCACTTGCACTCGTTATTGTTGTCAAAAAAGGAACGAGAGATTCGACCCAACGATATAGTTCAGCCCAATAAGTTACTTGTAAGTAAATTGCATATTCTTAAATTTGCGTGAATTAAACTTAATTTTGGGTAGAATATACTTAAGAGTAGGTAATTTTTTTGCTGGTGATAAATGGAAACTACTATATGCGATTTACTCAAATTTGGGTTATTGGACTGAACCCCGGAATTGAGGGAAAAGTACTTAGTTTTGGGTCGTTTTTCATCTCCGTGTACATTTAGTGTTGCCACGTGGTACAATCCATTAGTACACGCTAACTTCTGCTTACTCACCAGGTGAGTCTATCGTACTCACTTTCGTCCGATGTATCGAGTTGTCAAAAATTGAGTAAACGAGAAATGTCAAACTGAGTAAAAGCCACTCAGTAAGCAAAATCCTGGACTTGGAAAAAATGCCAGTCATTTCGGAGTTAACCTCATAGAAAATGTTACTTAAAACCGGCTGAAAGTACGAATTGTTTAGGGAAACGGTGTTGAACCATTTTCTGCTCCGGCAGAATGAATCCGGAGCAGGCAATTTCCATTTCCTTGAATAAAAATCAAAACAAAAACCCTCCCCGCAACTGAAAATATCGGCGGGTGGATTTGACTCAGTATACGTGAGAACGTCGTTTACTCAAAAGTGAGTCAACATAAGGCTACTCAATTTTGAGTAGCCCTACCTGACGCTGAGAAGAGTATATTCGACTCAATTTTGAGTTGACCAGAATAAGCGTGTAGTGTTGCCATGTGGTACAATTCAGTAGTAGTGGTGTTGCCATGTGGTACACTGAAAAATTGCAATAGCAGGTGCGAGCCGCTCCGTCTGTCACTTCGTTTATGCTGGAACCGAACCATGGACGTTGAGATTATGGGGCCCGCGTGTTGACCACTCGTCTTTTAACGCTTGGTAAGATGAAATGATTAAATGCGTATAAGAGCTACCTCCTGTTACCCGAAAATAATTCATAAGGCACGCTTATGAAATTCATATGTGTTGTTCATAAGTAGAACCTTATGAAATTCTTAAGTCAATTTGCCTCAGTGTACTCTAGCAGTCTCTATTAGTGACGTCACTACTTGCGTTTACGTTGATTTTTTGGTTTACTAATACAACAATATTTCACGATCAGCTTTACCTCTCTCTCTGTACACATTGGAGCTTACCCACAAAAACATGTAAAACTTGGTCCTGTCTACCCAATGAGGTACAGAGAGAGGTAGCACTGATCGTGAAATAGGGTTGTATTAGTAAACCAAAAAATCAACGTAAACGCAAGTAGTGACGTCACTACTTGCGTGTACTTGCGTGTATCGTACAGTGGTTGTGTGAGTGATTGCTTCACCTCGGTAATCCAGCTCATTGCTGTCTACCTGGTTGGTGTTTCGTTCCGCGTGGTGTGATAAACAACTATTTTCAAAATTCTTCAATAATAGTGTTAAGGAGATAAATATCAATCAAAACTAGTGTGACTAACATCCCGAACGACATTATCGCGAGTGCAAGAGTAGGAAACCTGTAAACCAAAATGGATTACAATCAGGTTGTGCCGAACGATTCCGCGCCTGCCAAAGAGGTTGAATCAGATTTGCTGCATGATATTAGGATGGACACGGCAAATTGCGACCCGGCAACTACTGAATCGTGGCAAAATGTAAGTATCAGTATAGCTGTGCTAGTTATTCATTAAATTGTTTTTTTTATTGCTTTTCAGAGTGCGCCCAAACGCTCTTATTATGATCATGATGAAATCGATGGACCTGAAATGGAACCACAAAAGAAGCTATGTCGCTATTACTATTTGGATCGATGCATGAGGGCTGAGAGTTGCTCCTTCATGCATTCAGAATTTCCTTGTAAATTCTATTATTTTGGATACGAGTGCAAAGACGGTAAGAACTGTAAGTTGTTACATGGATCTGCCTTGGATCCGACCATGACGCAGGCTCTGTGGCATCATGTGATGTCCGCACCAGCGAATCTCCTCCAGAGATTCCCATGCTTTCCCCACGTTTTGCTGAAGCAGAATTTCGATGATCGCCACAATGAATTGATTCAGATGGAGCAAGAAGGACTTCTTGAAGATCGTGAGATGAAGATAAATCCTGTTTCGTCGACCTTGTTGAGCGAGGTCATTAAAACGGTCAGCAAGACGCAAGTGACGGGCGACGCTTTCGCCCAACTAGGAGAACTATTGGAGATTTTGACACCAGAGCAAATTGCATCGTTGGCAAGCATCGGAGTTGAAACAATGGACCAACTGTTCCAGTTGGGTGCCAGCTCTCTGCTGGATCTTGGATTCGATTTCGATACGTTGATTAAGATTGGAAACTTCAAGGAGATACAACGCAAGAAATCCATTTACACTGCCGAAATTGACGAGGATAGTCAAAATGACATTGTATGTTCTCCGGATAGTAAAATGTGTTTGATTGTAAGTTTGTAATTAATACTAAAATTTTAATTTTAGAACACTTCTGACATTTTTGGCTCTGAGGTACTTGATGTGTCGCTTACTGCTCCGGTCGATACACCTGTCCTCACCGATCAAGAATTACTGAGCATCCTCAATGAAGATCTAAATACTTCTACCTCAACAATTGAGCGTTCATCCGCGCAGGACTTTGAAGCCACTTTGTCTGATCGTGACTTAAAACCCAAACTATACACAATCAACTGCGATGATTTTCCTGGAGATCAAAACGATGCATACTCCGGAATATCCAAGGGTAAGTTGTGAAATGAAAACTTTGATTTCAATTTATTTAAAAGACTTCATTACAGCAGAATTTGTTGATGTAAATTCTGAAAGCAGCCAAGGCAGCGGATGCGCTCTCAAAGCATTCCGAAGTGACGCTGGAAGTGAGTGCCATCAACTTATGCTGTACCCATCAGTCAAGGAAATGGAAAACGATAAAAAATCATTGGACTCCATTCAAAGAACTGTTGATCAGTTGAAGAAAATCGATTCGCTGCTGTCGGAGGAGAAAAAGCAGGACACCAGCTGGGGCAGCGAAGAAAATGATGTCTCTACGGGCCACGGACCGAGGCACGATTCGTACGTCACAGACTCAGTGAACCAATCATTCGGAAGCGAGAGTGACAGCCAAACTTGTTTTCGGATGCCTTTCAAATCGATCATTAACCACTACACACCAGCAACAGAGATAGATGCATCGAATGGAAAGTTTCTAATCACACAGTACAAGGTGAGTGACCCGCTTTATGATCTGTGCTTCTGTATGCGTGAGTAACTAAACATTGTTTCTTGGATATGACAGTTGATTCCAGTCGATGTTCCAAAACCTAACTTTGAACGCATTCGTCGTACATTCGTTGCGGCGCCCACGTACAGTTTGGATCCACGCCTACAGATTATGTTCAATGTCGGCCCAACGGAAGTGCGTCATGTTGATTGTTCCAAAGTCAGTATCCGTGATCCACGATTGAAGAAATCAACCGAAGTTCACATCGGTGACGTTCCAGATCATCCCGCATAGATGGTACAAGATTCCTTCGTATACGACCAAAGGTTGGTACTACTCTATCGCTTTGTAATGCTTTTACAAGAACAATTATTACCTCAATAGACAGTAGAAAATAATCTACAACATCTTATTCTTCCGGACTTGTTGTCGCTTAATGTTTTTAAATTACGCTCATCAAACGTAATTCTTAACTTTTTTAATGCTTGTCAAGTTCCGAATGAAAAAGTCAAGGTGCCTCAATAAAAACAAAATAAAACCTGCCGAATTATGTTTTTTACAAATGTGCATGCAAGATGAAGGAAAATAGGCGTTCATGAAGATTGAGGATATCTCCTTACTCGATGTGTGTCCTGTGTCCTGTCATAATCGGAATTAGAATCGAAACCTTATTATAATCCAATCTTATGAACCACTCGATGCTTCCGAGCTACCAGAACAAGGAAAAATCCACTCAACTGAAGTTTCCAAAGGGTGACATCAAGATCTTCACTGACAACTTCAATGCAAAGATCGCTTCCGATAACATGGTGTAGGAGAAATTAAACGACGAGCTGTTTGCAGAATGTTGTTGCAATAACCACATGATGGTGATTGGAGGCTTACCCTCACCCCCTTGATCAGTGCACAACGTCACGTGGGTTTCTCGTGATGGACATACCAAAAATCGACCACATCTGCATCTGCCGAAAATGTCCGGAATAAATGCAGCACCGACATCGCGTCGTATCGTAACATTCTAATCGACGAAGTCCGTCTACGCATTGCGAGGATCCAGCGGTGCACAACGAACATGCCCGATTTGAAAATCCAGCAGTGAGTAACATTGGCGTAGCAAATTGGGGTGCCAAGGGAGCCACCTCCAGAATTATCCAAGCTCTCTCCAGTTTTTTTTTTTGCGAATCTAATGCCAACAATTTACGTAGTATAAATCATCAATTATTTCTGAAAGATGGCCAAGCCCTCCCCATTGGCTAGTTTTTATCCAGGACGTTGGTGGGCGGGCCTAATCTTATGCTTCATAGTGGAGCGTTGGAGACGGTTGGTTTAGGTCCGGGATCGTTGGCTCATGCCGTGGCAGAGTAGCGTCATGAGTATACAATGATGATTATTGAGCTTCCCCTCTCTGATGAACCATTGCATGAGAGAACCAAATTTCTAGCCTGAAGTGATATTATCACACCTGTTACTCCTTTTTTGTATAAGCACTGACGTTGGGTGCGATACTGACGGGGTTTTCCGCAAATCACTCATTTTATTTATTTTTACACAGATAGGGGAAGGAGGGGCATAGTGAGCATCCCGCAGTTTGGCCCTGGATCTCTAGCTGCATGAAACAACAATATCATTTTCATTAAAGCATTACTCAGGGAACAATGTTAAACACCATTTTTGTACATGGTATTGTAAGTAATCTTATATATGCTTCATTTCGGTTTGGGATAAGTGTTTGAACTATGACTCGGGATTTCCACTGTGGCGTGCTTTTATTGTGAAATACCCATACGTATTTTTGTAGGGGAGGTAGCTCATCGATTCTTCCGGTTCGCCTCCTAGCATCGTGCTATAAGGTACCAGGCGATAGCCAGGGTAGTTGATCGATAGCTCGATGACGTCATTTCGTTGGCGTCTGCAATGGGAAATTTTCATAGCAGGCGTTGACGATGGGACGTTGTCGAGTTGTTGAATACCAACTATCGTGGTAACTCACCGCTTACCTGTCGATCTGCCAAATTTGGAAAGACGTCTGCATTGAATTGTCTCATATAATAATATTCCGCCCACTATATCACAAGAAATTGCGAAATTGCGAAAACAAGTTAGCGTGTAAATTTGAAAAAAAAGGGAACTTGGAGTGTAGAGCGTACTGCGCACTGCCCACTGGACGATTCTAAAACCACTAGTGAGTGGGGTATGGGTTTATTTGATTGAACGTCATTTCCAATGTATATATTGATACATTCAAACCATTGGCATTTGAGATAAGACAGAGATAGGATGCGGAGGGCCCGCTTAGGGGAAGCGTAACCCATGTTATGGTTTCCATTTATTAAATAGTTCAGATAGGCTGGAAATGACAGGTTCATAGTGAGAAAACGTACCATATGGGGCCCGTTCACTGATCAAAATCAGATTCACATCGTCAGATCCTGCCCAAGAATAAGGGGATTGACGATGTCTTGGCAAGTTTTATTTTGAATTTGCGTTTTGCATTTAATACTCTAGTAAATCTCGCGTCCGTGCTCATTCACAACTGTGTGATGTGTCAATACTCACTGGGTTATGTTTTAGACCAGTTCCAGATTAGTTTGCTATTAATATCTTCTGCATCGCAGTTCGCGATAGATTACTAAATATGGGTTCTCTTTTCCGACCATAATAGTGTGAGGGAAGGGGGTGAGTTAAACGTTGCGATATGAGAGCGAATAGAGGGTGAGGAATAGGGAAGACAACACCAAGACCCAAATAAGTAACCAATGCATGTGGCTCACACTTAACTTGTTCTATTTCTTTCTTTCTTTCTTCCTATCATGTACTAATATTAACTGCCTGAGGACAAATGGGAACACGACCCGAAGTTCAATAGGAGAAAAGTAGCTAGAAAATTCGAAGAAGAAAAGAAGAATTAAACTTGCACCGGCAAGAGGAAGCAGACAGAAAGGATCATGCCGGTTGGAGACAGCCAATGTATACTGGACGAAGCTTGTATCTAGCAAAAGTCGTATGTGCAGGAAACCGTAAGTAGGATAAGAATCGTAAAAGGTGTGTGCTTGCTTGATAAGATCCTAACTTTACTTTAAATACACGGTAGGAATCGAATATCAATTTATGATTAAGGTTTTGCCCATTTTTCAGTGGGAGTGGCAATACTCATTGATGAGTGATTCATCGTACCCATTTATTAGTAACTGTTAGCAGCTAATGATTAATTGTTAAAAGAATTCACTCATTAATGAGTGGAGCAGCTTTTGTTGGGGTTGTGTTGGGTTTTACCCATAGATGGGTATTTATTATTACCGTGTATGGATGCCGAAGGTTTGTTTTAGGTTTATGGTTTATTTTATTTTCGATTGACAATTCTCATAGCTAACAAAATTTCATATCACTAACACAAGCAAATCGCACCAATATGAATACGCCTGGAGAGGACTATGGGCACATACAGCCCGACAGAGGCTTACATGATAATACCTAAGAGGAAGAGGAGACAACTGGATTCTTACTTTTACTCTTTTATCTCTATCCCGATTTATACCTATCTCTATCACTTCAAATCGGCCAATCACGAGCTGGTTCAAGATTGACAGAAAAGTGGTTCGTTTTAGCCCCCGTATTGTCTCCTCTTCTCTTAGGATAATACCACAAAATAAAGAAGTCACACAATCGCTAGCAAAGTCAAAAAGTCACATGGTACACACGCAACAGTTGCAAAGTCGGGAAATAAGTTGAGGTTAGGTGAAAGTGCCAAACACAAAAAGTAAAGCGCAGTTGGATGAGTTTATTTGGATGCCGTGGTGCTCATAGTTTGATGCAGGAACATAATTTGCTGATGCTATTAAGGACCTTATACAGTTTATAAGAAAAGATCCATCTAAATAATATTTCAAATAACAGTAAACATGGAAACCGAGCTAGTTCATGTTGATGAGGGAATCGTGGAAGTGTTGCGAATACCAGGAGATGGAAATTGTCTGTTCTCATCGCTAGCGCATCAGATATGGAAATGTAATGCAAAAACATCGACTGGGCAGCTTTATGCCAGAACTTTGCGCACAATGGTCGGACAATTCTACCAAAGACGGTTAAATGAATGGACGGAACAATTATATGCACACGCGATCGTTGCATTACCACAACAGGCCGAGGAAACAACACGCGACGAGCTGGTGGAACTCTTCCTATCTTCCATTTCGAAACCAAGATTCTGGGGAGGAGAGGAAAGCTTAGTAGCGATTGCACGAACTTTTGATTTTGCAATAAGGATTTACAGAGAATAAGAATGTAGCAGAGTCATAAATGAGAACGGAAAGCGCTGTCTTGAAATCATTTATCGCTTTTCGGGCACAGCGGAGTACAACCATTACGATAGTGTGATGAAACTGCTTTGAACTCATGAGCTTTCTTTGAGTAGCTAGAAAGCGTCGTCGCCTGACCTTCAATAATACAGTGGCCGCCTCCTTGGGTGCTCCGGAAATAACCTCCACGAGCATACAAGATCATGGTTGCTTCCACTCACTTGCTATAAAAAAAATATTATTCGGAATTATGCAATCATTAGATGCAATAATGCTATGTTGTACTTGTAAGTAACAAGAAGAAGTAGTAAAGTATGTGTTTGACTCATAAAACCTCTCAATTTTGCTTTGAGAGCGTCACAATTAGCGATCTTATGATTCATGAGCGTTCACTCAGAGTGAGCGCTCACGAGTCGTAAAATCGCTGATTGTGACGCACTGAAAGCAATTTTGACAGATTTTATGTGTCTTACATATACTTTGTGACCTCTTCTTGTAACTTGCACGTACCAATTAGTATTATACTATATCATGATTTCATAATTCCGAAAAACATTTTTTTATAGCAAGTGAGTGGAAGTAACCCTGCATCGTACCGTGGTATCAGATGGTAACTCAAGTATCACGCCAATGCGCACACATTTTCCTTTACAAGAAGTACAGGCTTTTCAATAAATAGCTCCCACAGTTGCCCAAGAAGTAACTCAGCAAACCATATCCATTCGTGAGAGCACACCAGTACCACCTCGAACTTTCATTGCTGCTACCTGGAATTTATCGGGATGCAGGTCTGTGACCTCGATACCTTGACCCTCGCCTTTTGAAGGGTCAAGAAGTACAAGTGGCTTGCCTTCAGGAGACGCGCATGGCATCATGTACAGTCCAAACATTGAATTTCACGTGGTACAACGTTAACCAACAAACGAAAACAGCAGCAAGAATGGGAGGCGGCACGTCAATACTTGTGCGTCGAGAGCTGATTAGTATGCGTAAGTTTCAACGCGTCACGGACAACATTTGCATGCTAAGAGTGCCGGTTTTTGGCACGGAATTATTCATATTCTCAATCTATGATCGGTTGGATAGCGAGTGGACCCAGAGATAACAAATTTACTCCGGTATCTCAACGGAATGAACGAGCAACAAAGGTCGAATGTGCTTATCATGGGGGATCTTAATGCCCACATTGGCTTCACAGATCTGTTACCAGTGGACCGAAAAAATCATTGGCAAGCAACTTCA